GGTCCTGGGATCCAGCCCCACATCGGGTTCCCTGCTCGGCGGGAAACCGGCTTCTCCCTCTCCCACTCCCCTTGCTTGTATTTCCTCTCTCGCTGGGTCTCTCTCTGTCAAATAAATAAATAAAATCTTTAAAAAAAAAATTTTTTTTTTTTTAAGATTTATTTTCTTATTTGAGAGAGAGAGAGTGCGAGCAGGGGGAAGAGCAGAGGGAGAGGGAGACAAGCAGACTCCCTGCTGAGAGGGAAGCCCATCATGGGGCTCAACCTCAGGACCCTGAGATCATGACCTGAGCCGAAATTAAGATTTAGACGCTTAACTGACTGAGCCCAGGTGCCCCCTAAAACCACTGGGTTTTGATGTGATTAGCTACATGCCACTTTTGTGATAAGAGCTAACTGGTATATGTAGCTACAAAAAGAACCCACAGTAAACATGAAATTTAAAAGTGAAAAATCAAAAACATTCTTTTAAAGATCAGGAACAAGATACAAGTGTCTACTGCCATTACTTCACTCAACATTATACTGGAGGTCTCAAGCAAAAGAACAGAAATCAAAGGTATAAATATTAGAAAAAAAATAGAACTATAGTAAAGATTTTGGGGTTTTTAAAAATATTTATTTATTTATTTGTCAGAGAGAGAGAGGGAGGGAGGGAGAGAGAGAACATGAACAGGGGGAGTGGCAGGCAGAGGGAGAAACAGGTTTCCCACTGAGCAAGGAGCCTGATATGGGGCTCGATACGGGACCCTGGGATCATGACCTGAGCTGAAGGCAGACGCTTAACCCAGGGGTCCCAATAGTAAAGATTCTGATTTTGATTCTGAATGAGATAACAGAAGGTTTTGAGCAGAGAGAGAAAATGAACTTACACTTTATTTTTTTATTTTTTTTTAAAGATTTATTTATTTATTTGACAGAGAGAGAGAGATAGCGAGATCAGGACCACAAGCAGGGGGAGTGGGAGGAGAAGCAGGCTTCCCGCAGAGCGGGGAGCCCAATGTGGAACTCGATCCCAGGACCCTGAGATCACGACCTGAGCTGAAGGCAGACGCTTAACGACTGAGCCACCCAGGCGCCCCCTGACTTATAGTTTAAACAGGAGTATTCCGGCTGCTCGGTAGAGAAGAGGCTATAGGGAGACAGAGGCATAAGCAGAGAGACCAAAAAGGAGGCAGCTTAGATTGGGTCAGAGGCAGTGGAAATGTCAGAAGTGATCAAGATATGGATAGATTTCAAACATTTAGCAGACACAATTTGTTGATATGCTGAATATGGGGCAGAGAAAAAGAGAAAAGTCAAGGATAACTCTGAATTATCTTGCCTGAAGCACCTAATGGATTAGATTTATTGAGATGGATTAGATTTATTGAGATGGCAAAGCCTTAGAGAAAAGCTGGGAAAGAGGTACAAGATTCAAGAGTTCTGTTTTGTACCCATTGATTTTGAAAAGCCAATTAGATATCCAATTGGAGGGGGCACATGAGTGGCTCAGTCGGTTAAGTGTCCAACTCTTGGTTTCGGCTCAGGTCATGATCTCATGGGTAACAGGACTGAGAGGACTGAGTCCCATGTCCTGCTCCCATGCTCAGTGAGGAGTCGGCTGGAGATTCTCTCCCTCTGCCCCTCCCCGCCAAGCACAAGCGCACAAGCACTTTCTAAAATAAATCAATCAATCTTAACAACAAAAAAAAGATATGGGGCGCCTGGGTGACTCAGTTGGTTGAGCATCTGACTTTGACTCCAGTCATGATCTCAGGGTCCGGGGTTTGGGCCACAAGTCAGGCTCCCCACTCAGTGGAGAGTCAGCTTATCCCTCTCCCTCTGCCCCTCTCCCAGCTTGTGCATTCTCTCTCTCTCTCTCTGTGTCTCAAATAAATAAATAAAATCTTTAAAAAAAAAAAAAGATATCCAACTGGAGCTGATGAGTAAGCAACTGAATACAGGAGCTGAGTTCAGAGGAAAAGTGGGAGAGAAAATGGGAGTTATTAGCATGTGAATAGTATTTAAAGCCTTTGAGTTAATGCCACATAAGTGTGTAGAAAGAAGAGCAGAAGTCCAATGATGGAGCCCTAGGTATGTCACTGCTTAGAGATCAGGAAGATCTAGAAGATCAGCAAAAGAGACTAGAAGAAAGAGCCAATAAAATATGAGGAGAATCAAGAAATTAAAGAAAGTAATCAAGATGTGATAATGGTATTTTGGCTACACAGAAAATGACCTTAGGAGACAATGCTAATGAAGTGCCATGAGGTCTACAAGTTATTTTCAAATGGTACAATAAAAATGTATTCTATTCCGTCAGATCATATATCATATACCACATTAGAGAGAGAGACCCAAAGAGAACAGCAAAATGTTAACAATTGTTGAGCCTAGATGAAGGTACACAGGTATTCACTGTGCATTCCTTCAACTTTTCTACCTGTTTGAAATTTTTCATAATAAAGAGATGGTAGAGGGGACTGTTTTGAGAAGAACAGTTAATCGACTATATTCACGAAACTGCTCTTCCTAGGCCAAATAATCTTATATCCCTAGTAGCCAGACTGTGGTCTCTAAATACCATTTCTAACTAAAAGGAACTATGACTCATTGGAAAAAATAGCGATACAAGCTCTAGTCTAGGAGTGCACAAAATGAGCCTGGAACATTTTACCATATCAAATAGCAAGAAACCTTAAGGGTTGTGTCAAAAGGACTCATTCCCACTGGCCAAAATAGGACAATTTAAAAATGATAAAAACAGCCAACAATTGAGACACATCATACTTGTGTTAAATTATGAGTTCATAATGGTACTATTAAAAACAAAACAAAACAAAACCGGAGCACCTGGGTGGCTCAGTTGTTAAGCGTCTGCCTTTGGCTCGGGTCATGATCCTAGGGTCCTGGGATCGAGCCCCGCATCGGGCTCCCTGCTCGGCGGAGAGCCTGCTTCTCCCTCTCCCACTCCCCCTGCTTGTGTTCCCTCTCTCACCATCTCTCTCTCTGTCAGATAAAAAATAAAATCTTAAAAAAAAAAAAAAACAAAACCCTGGCTCAGTCAGTTAAGCATCCAACTCTTGATTTCAGCTCAGGTCATGATCTCAGAGTCATGAGATTGAGCCCTGCGTAAGGCTCCGCACTGGTCATGGAACCTGCTTAAGTTTCTCTCTCTCCCTCTCCCTCTGCCCCCCATCTGCTCACATGCTTTCTCTAAATAAAAAAATAAACCCTGACATTAAAAAATACCTCACTTTTCAAGGATGCAAGGGAACTAACTCACTAAAAGCTGGGAAAATAAAAGGGAAACAAGCATTTTTCTTGCCTTTCCTACATGAAATGTATCTCTGGGTAACAAACAGGTATGGATAAGTTTCTCTTTGTAGAGGAAGGAAGGAAGAATAGAATGAGTATTATTTTCTAATTCCTACATTCCCCCAGCGGACAACTGGCAATGTCTAGAGACATTTTTGATGTCACAACTAGGGGAGCTGCTACTGGCATCCAGGGATGCTGCTAAATATTCTACAATGCACAGACAGGCACCTAACAATAAAGAATTATCTGGCCCCAGGGCACCTGGTTGGCTCAGTCGTTTAAACGTCGCCCTCTGCTCAGGTCATAATTCCAGCGTCCTGGGATGAAGCCCCTGCATCAGGCACCCTGCTCAGCTGGAGTCTGCTTCTCCCTCTCCTGCCCGCCCCCAACTGTGCTCTCTCTCTCTCTCAAATAAATAATCAAAATCTTAAAAAAAAAAAAATCCTGGCTGATGCTCCTTCTTTCCACTGAACTGACTGACTCTGGATACTAAATCAATCAGCAAGCTTTCCCTATTAGTTGAATGTTTCCTCCTCTCCTTCCCTATTATCCCTATCCTAGTTCAGTCTCTCCTCCTTTCCTGACTGAAGCATTGGCAAGTCTCCTTGCTTCCATAGGACAACCACAGTGATCTTTCTACAACAAGATCCTGGCCCCTCTGCTTGGAATTATTACCACCAACGATAGTAACTCTCAAATTGAGATAAAGGGTCAGATATATGTGAATTATCTATTATAATATTATTTTAACAAAATGAAGTATAAATTCCTAGTGTTTATAGATCTCATACAACTACAGAAATCAAACTTGCAAATTAAATAGTTGTGGATGCTAACATTAAGGTCATGAATGAGTTTGTTTTGCTGAGACCAAACAAGGCCCAGGCACATGTTGTTCTCAAGACTGGCCCGTCTCCACTGGCTCTAGGACGATAGTGAATCTCTCCCACTCTCTCCAAAGCTGTGTGAAACCTTCTGTTGCACGGTGCACGGGCACAGCCTCTGGCCTTCTCTCCACCCTAAGGCACCGTTTGTAATCTAAGATTGCTTTTTCTCTATTCATTAGCCCTGGACAATTAAACAGAACTCGGCTCCATCTCTCATAAACACCGGCCAGGACTCTGTCATTAGGTGAGCACCCACACGGATGCGGACTGTGCTTGTATAAATTTCCTTTCCATCTTACCACAAAAACAGAAATGCAGTACTTGAGAATTTTTGAAAAGAATTCAGCCTTCCTCCCTCAAGCTGTGTCGCAGCCCGTTTCCCTCCGGAGACCGGCAGCCTCCACTCCCGCCGCCCTCCACTCCGCCTCTAGGTGGCAACCTGCTCAGTGCTGCGCACAATCGCTTGCCCCGGAGGCGCCCGTCGGATCGGGCGACGTCACTCATCCCTGGCGATAATTGGCTATTTCGCCGACGCCCGGGGGGAGGAGCCAGCGGAGAACCGGAAGCGTTGGGTACGGCGGGTGCACAGTGCGTGCGCATGCAGGGCCCAGCGCCGACTTAAAAGAGGCCAGCTGCAGCTCCTCCTCCAGCCTGAGGGGGCAGACCGGATTCCTACGAGGTGGAGGGCGGAACCTCCTCAGAGGGGTCACACTGATAAGGGCTGGGCCACACTGAGGGGAGGAGTCACGTTGAGAGGAGGGGTCACAATGACTGGTGGAGTCACTCTGAGAGGTGGGGTCTCATTGTGTGGGAGGGGTGTCGCACTGAGGGGTTCTGGTACACACTGACGGCGGCAGTATCGTACTGAGGAACGGTCCCTCTGAACGTGGCGGTCTCACTGAGGAAGAGAGGGGTCTCCGAAGGGGAGGCCTCCTGGAGGGGCGGGGTTTTGCCAAGGGGTGGGATCCCACAGGAGGAGGGGCTTCCGGACAGGTGGAGGCTTCTCTGCAGAGAGATAGGGCCGTTTGGAGGAAAGAGTAAGAGGAAGGTTCAGGCTGGGTGGTCACTGGGCGGATACTCTCTTTCTTTGTACTTTATTCGAGGGAGGCGGGATGGAGTAAGGAGGTGTAGGCCACACCAGGGACGGACTGGCCACGGGCTCACTATACAGGCCTGAGGCACCACAACCGCTGGAGAAGGGAGAAAGTGTCAGGGAATCCAGAGGTGTAGGGGTCGAGACCTGGGAAATGGTCAGGCTGGGCCAGAGCGGAGGCCGGGAAGGTAGGCAGGTTGCTGGGCTACCTCCGATTGTGGCTGACCCTGAAGGGTCTACTTTTCTGCCCTGCTGGCCCACGGAGCCCAGGAATCCGGCGACTTCCTGAGCCCGGCTGTCCTCAGACAGTGGCCTGAGGGTGGGAAGAGAGAAAGGACTCCCAGGGCAACTAAAAGACATTTGAGCTGCGCGTACGCACAATCAGCCCGTAATTCCCTTCAGTTATTCAGCTCGGGCCAGAACTTATTTGGCCCCGACGTCCCAGACGCATTCGCCTAGGGTGTCGCGGCCACCCGTTGGGGGTTGCGTACCTGAGGGGGCGTGGCCGCTGCCCGTGGGCCGGACTGGAAGGAGTTAAGCTGAGGCCCGGTTCAGCCCCGCCCCCGGCAGGCCGCGGAGCCTGAGCCCCAGCGGCGAAGCGGAGCCGCGGCCGGCCG